GGGGGGAGGGGAAACAGGAGACGGAAATGGACCGTTTACGACCATGCCACTTCCCGCGCTCGCGCGTTGTTGCGGTTCGGTTACCCCCACCCCACCTCACCCTCGCCGCGGCGACTCGACGCGACGGGCGGCCGGCGGCGCTGGGCGACAGCAGGGACCGCCCGTGATGTAGGCAACGGCGACACAGGGCTGTGCGACGGATCGGGCGTTGCCTACCTGCCAGGCGGTCTGTCCCCAGCAGCCACATGGCACGGGACGACCACGGTCCACAGCCGTAACAGTTTGGACTGGCGTCTGCTTGGCCGATGCCGATGTTCCTGTTCGCGGGACTCGCTGTCCCATACGCGGTCGGGCCGGATGGCAGTGCCGTGCGCAGTCGTGCGAAGTAAGGAGGGGGAGGAGTGGGGGTGGGGGCAGAGACTTACAGAGCGAGCGAACATCTCGCGGCTGCAGGGTCAGTCAGTCCAAACTCGAGAAGAAACTCTATTTCTGTCCCGTTGGAGCCGTTGGCGTTGGAGAGGGGGAGGCCGGGTCGGGCCGGCCCGGGGCCGAGCAGGGAAACGAAGGTGCGAGGCAGACGCACCAAGAAATAACAAGGCTTGCGTCTGTTTCTCCAAAACTCGGGAAACCAAAAATTGCGTTTTTCGGAAGTGCGATAAAAGAGAAAGGGAGCGAGAGTAAATGGGGGGGAGGGGTGTTCCTCCGCTGCTGCTCACCTTCCTTCATGCGCAGGATGACGGTCTGGTCCGTGTTGGGGCTGGTGAAGTACGCGGCGCTGCCCTCGTCCCATAGCAGCGCGTCCTGCACCTCCTGCAGCTGCAAGGCCCACTCGAGCCAGTTGGCGTCGAACGTGGTCTCGTACAGGTCGATCAGCGCCTGGATGAGGAAGGCGTAGTCGTCCAGGAAGCCGCCGATGGGGTTGGCGATCTGGATGACGCCGCCGTTGTCGCCGCGGTAGCAGCTGCGCAGCAGTCGCTTGTTGGCCGCGTCGTACAGGTGCTTCTTGACGAACTGGGCCGCCTTCACGGCCCGCTCCGCGTACCGGTCGTCGCCCAGGGCCTGCGCGGCCTTGGCGAAGCCGCTGATCATGAGCGCTGAGGGGAGGCAGGGCAAACGTTACTCCACAGGCATCCGCAGGCAGACGGTCAAAGTGTCGGGGCTGTGGTACTCACCGTTCCAGGAGGTCAGCATCTTGTCGTCGAGGTGCGGCCTCGGACGCCGGCCCCTCACCTCGAACAACTTGTCGCGGCTCTCGCGCAGGATCTCCTGGACCTTCTCCTTGGGGAGCAGGAAGTGCTTCGAGGTCTCCTCTTCGCTGCCGAACATGATGAGCACGTTCTGGTTCACGAGCTCGCCATGCGGGTCGGAGCTGGGATTCACGTTCCCGCCAGGCTTCACGCTGTAGTGGAAGCAGAAGATGTCGCCGTTTGTGACCTCCTTGCCGTCACTGCCAGCCGGGCAGCTTTCAACACGTTGGTTTAGAATCTCGTGCACTTCATCATAAGTCCAGGCATAAAAGGCACCCTCTTTTTTCTCAGTCGAATCGTGTGTAGGCAGTGAGTCAGCATCTTCGGCGCTATAAAAACCACCAGACTAAAACAAAAAGATAAAAAAGAAAAACAGGATTGTCGCGATAAGAGTGAACAAATTAAGAGCTCTCTCAATAGAAGTAGCAAATGAAAAGTTGCCAAAAGAAACTTACCTTATCACTTAGGTCCCGTTCCACATACTTCAGAATGTCTCTAGCAACATCAGCATAAAAATAGTTATTTGTAGCAAGGAAGGCATCACAATATGCAACTACTAATTGTCCTTGATCATAAAGCATTTTTTCAAAGTGAGGTATATGCCACTTCATATCAGTTGAATATCTAGCAAAGCCCTGAATAAAAGATTTCATAATAAGAGGAGACAATTTGAAAATTAAGTAATGAGTGTTTTCAAACCCTCAAGGGTAAAAAACATTTCTGGATATATATCTGACCTGTCCCACATGATCATGAATTCCACCTCGGGCCATCATTCTCAGTGAATATAAACACATATCTAATGCTTTCTTTCCTTTGACAGATGAAGGATCACGTGCATAAAAATGGAAAAGGAATGTAAAAATAGATGGTTGAGGAAACTTGGGAGCATGACCAAACCCCCCAAATCGGGACTCATATATTTGGACCAATTTCTCATAACATTTTGGGGCGCACTCCTCCAGAGATGGAACCCCAGTGATGAGTTGGGCAGCAATTGGTATTTCTAGAACAGTTGTTTCTCTTAAAATGTCCATAATTCGATTGCCCGTATTATTACATTTCTGGCGGTTTTCTCTCCACTGTAGAGATAACGTGAATTGGTAAGTAAAAATAAATTATGTTGGAACAACAATAAACAGTTCATCAGAAAATAATTCTTACAGATTTTGCAACACTCTGCAGTACAGATTTAAATCCTGGTCTTCCATGTTGGTCTTCAGGAGGAAAGTATGTACCACCCATAACTGGTGTTAGATCAGGAGTTAAAAAGACACTCATCGGCCAGCCACCGCCTCCACAGGACGCCTGTCAACAAAGGTACGGGTCTGCACACACCGGTCTCAATAGAAAAGAGGAAAGAAATGTACGAAATAGTTGTATGATACCTGAACAAATGCCATATACACTTTATCAATGTCAGGACGTTCTTCACGGTCAACTTTAATATTAATGTAATTTTCATTCATTATTTTAGCGACACTTTCATTTTCAAAACTTTCTCGCTCCATCACATGACACCAATGGCAGGTTGAATAGCCTACTGATAAAAATATCAGCTTGCCCTCTTTCCGAGCCAACTCAATGGCCTCATCCCCCCAAGGAAACCTGTCAAGGAGCAAAAAGGCACAGTTATCAATTTCTTAAAATAAAACTTGGAGAGAAAAATTATATTTCAATTACCAACCATTGAACAGGATTGTTGGCATGCTGCCGAAGATATGGTGATCGCTCTAAGGACAGTCTATTAGAGTGCTTAGGAGCCTCACTTGATTTTCCTGCCATAACGTTTCGTACACCTCCACCTCTGTGACTGCAGGTGGACCCCAGGTTCGAGATAAGTCCCCAATGCCTGAAAAGAAGATAAGATAAGGGCTATATTGATAATTGACAAAGGATAATAGAATAACTTTCACTTAAGGCTTCCTCAAGTTTGACAAAATGGAAAAGGGAACGATACCTAACAACAACAACAAGAAAAGTTGAAATTTACGTAAGAATAGTGAAAAATGACTGACAAAGTGAAACAAACGTAAAATAATGCAGTTACAATCTTAATCAAGCGATTCTAACCTCACTATCAGCAGCTGTTTGTCAGTCAAAGAGAGGCAACAGAGCGGTGAATGTCGATGATAACCGCGAAAGGATATCCTTCTGATCAAAATCGGAAGCAAAAGGGGATTAACTCTTCCTGAAATCATAACATGAGCTAAATAAAATACCCGTTAGAATTTAAAATTTACTCGGCCGTTCGCCGTTTGGAAACATAGAAAACTCAACCACAACAACGAAACAGGGTCGACAACACAACCCTTTGAAGAACATGAGAATTGACTAAAATGTGAAGGATAGAGGCTAGAGTGCCGTACGTCAGCTCCTCGCCAAAATCCGAGGTGTTTATGAGATGTCTTTGATAAAAATGGCATTTCATTTTGCATGTTTTTTGGCCAGTTTGGTTGTTCGTCGATGGTTGAACTTCGGCGCGCCCTACAACCATCTGATTTGACTGGATTTCTTGTTAAAATTGAGGAATACTCAGAAACCTTTTTAAGTTCACTTTTAAGTGAAGAAAGGCAGAAAAAGGCCCCTGGAAATCTCAATTTTAAAGGTTGTCAAATTTGTGATTTATTTTTTTTCATGGAGGACTGAAAATGACCACGCAATTAATGAATAATGAAGGGTAAAAAAAGGGGGGGAGAGACCATGTATGTATATTGTCAATATTTTATTTAAATGGTTATTGCCCTGCATTCATAAGACATTACAGTATGTACAATGCAGACTCACAGCTTGCAATATAACACATTTGTAGAATAACCTGCATTCATTCAAACAGAGCATTAAAATTTCAAATTCAACAATGTATTGTAAGAAATTTGTAAAGCACTGCCAATTGGGGCTGCGGCTTTATAATGGCATAATTTACCAGAATCAGTCTTAAAGCCCATAACACACCATATGAGCACCATAGCTGGAGTCACGAATTGTACATTATACTGAGCACATTTCAGACTGTCCACAGAAACCACATAAATCATTAGCCTGGTACAGTGAGGCTGCCTTAAAATTAGCATCCTTCTCACAAGCTCTCCAATTTTTGGCAACATTACAGAACCATGACCCTTCCTGACAAGGAGACCTTTAAAATCATGTCCAAGTGAGACAATAAAATTTGAACACTGATTGAAATGTTTACAAGAACTATATCACAATTGTACACTATTCTAATTGCCAATTCATTTACATAGTTCAAGGTAAAAATACATAATACAATCTCAACATGGGTTACGAGAGGACCCACAAAATACTGTGACTCGAGTGAACAGAGTATGGCACCTCTCTTCACAAGTTTAGTCAACGAATCATAAACTATAATGGAGCTCATAATTCCCTTAGGTAAAACTTCCTTAGGAAATAAAATTTCAAATTAAAAACAAAAAATTTGAAAATTTTGCAATAAAAATCATTTGCATCTGCAAATTGCATGATGAATAAAGAACAAAATCAAACTATAGCACTACAATGCGCCAAATTAAGAGCCTGACTAGAGATACAGGATGTGAGGAGAATTGATGGAATAAATCTAATGTTCTACTTTGCTAACTCCTTCATTCTGTTAAGTGCACTACCAGCTCTGAACCAACTGATCTGGAGGTCATTCATGGTGTGATTGAGGGTTATTTGTTCTGTCTTGCCATCAGGGTGCTTGAGCTCACACTGAAGAGGCTGGAATCAAATTAAAAGTATTGTATAAGAAAAGCCCCCAAAATCATTAGCAAAGAGAAAAAAATGGGGCGGAAACTACTTACCTTGCCAGGAGCCAAGTCTTTAAGACCAAGAATGGACACTTTGTCGAAGGGTGTAATCTTATCATAATCAGCAGGGTTAGCGAAGGTAAGAGGCAGCATACCCTGTTTCTTCAGATTGGTCTCATGAATGCGGGCAAACGACTTGACAATAATGGCAACACCACCCAAGTGACGGGGCTCAAGAGCGGCATGCTCGCGGGAGCTTCCCTCACCTAAGAAAGAAAAGTTGATATAAATTCAAAAAAACAACTGGGTCAAAGTATTTAAAATTTGACTTACCGTAGTTCTCATCGCCAATAGCAACCCACTTGACATCCTTTGCCTTGTAAGCTCTAGCAACCTCAGAAACACCACCGTAATTGCCAGTAAGTTGGTTCTTGATCTTATTCAATTCTCCATTTTCAGCATTTGTAGCGCTGCAAAAAATTAATTGGTAAATTAGATTTCAATACAGTAAAAAGGATAATTTACCAAGAATGGGAAGAATAGTAAAGTCATACGTGAGGAACAAGTTGTTGGAAATGTTGTCCAAATGTCCACGGTACTTGAGCCAAGGACCAGCAGCGGAAATGTGGTCAGTGGTGCACTTGCCTTTAACCTTGAGGAACAAAAGCTATTGTTGAAAACTGATAAAAAGAAAAAGAAGTTTGAGAGGATTTAAAGTTTACCTTAATAAGAATAGTGAGGTCTTTGTAATCCTTTCCGTCCCACTTGGCAAAAGGTTCAAGGAGCTGAAGACGCTGGCTCTTGGGGTCAACATCCACTTTCAGACTGCTACCTTCAGGAGGAGGTGCTTGGTAGGTGTTTTCGCCAGGGTCGAAACCACGGGGGGGCAGCTCTTTGCCGAAGGGATCGGATAACTTGAACTCCTTGCCTAAAAATGACATGGTGCAAAAGAATTAATTCTGAAAACAAGGATTTGGTTAAATCTCAAAATTTTCCCACATACCATCAGCACCCTTCAGTGTGTCAGTTAACGGGTTGAAATTCAGGGAACCAGCAATAGACAGGGCGGTAACCAACTCAGGGGAGGTGACAAATCCATGAGTAGCAGGGTTGGCATCATTACGACCAGTGAAGTTACGGTTGTATGATGTGACAATTGTGTTCTTTTCTCCCTTCTTGACATCTTTCCTGTCCCATTGGCCAATGCAAGGACCACAGGCATTAGCCAAAACTGTACCTCCGAATTTACGGAGGGTTTCTGACTGAAAATGAGATTGAGTCACTTAGCATTCCTTAAATTCAAGGCAAATAATAAAAATAGTTGATTTACTCACCACACCATCACGTTCAATGGTAGCTCTGACTTGCTCAGATCCAGGAGTAACATTGAAAGCAATCTTTGATTTTAAACCGTGCTTCATGGCCTCTTCAGCAATGCTAGCACAACGGGTCATATCCTCATAGGAAGAGTTTGTGCAGCTTCCAATAAGACCTAATAATAAAATTGACAATAATCATACTATCATCCACTAAAAATTGAAGAAAATTACCTATATCTGAAACATGGATTACTAACCAACTTTGATCTCAAGGGGCCATCCAGCTTTCTTCGCATTTTCACTAAGCTTGCTGATGGGGTGAGCCAAGTCAGGAGTGAATGGACCATTCACATGAGGCTCAAGTGTGCTCAGATCAATTTCAATCACCTGCAAACAAATTCTTATGTTGAAGTGATGTTCAGTGAAGAAAATAGCAGACCAAATTGAAAAGAAAACATACAAACCTGATCGTATTTGCATCCAGCGTCAGGGGAGAGGAGGACATCCTTAACCCTTGCTGCCTCATCAGAAATATCTTTGCGGCCAGTTGACTCTAAGTAAGCAGCCATTCTGTGATTGAAGGGGAAAACTGAAGTAGTAGCTCCAATTTCAGCTCCCATGTTGCAGATTGTACCCATACCTGAGGAGGACCAATTTAATGAGAGATATATATAGAGAGTAAATTTGACAGACATCAGTGTCATAATAAGTAAAATATATACCAGTGCATGAAATGGAATCGACACCAGGGCCAAAGTACTCCACAATGGCACCAGTGCCACCCTTGACAGTGAGAATGCCAGCCACCTTCAAGATCACATCCTTCGGTGAGGTCCATCCACTTAGCTTACCAGTAAGCTTCACACCAATAACCTGTTTACGTACAAATTGGGATTGGTCATACTGGGAAAGTTGCTGCAACCACATTGATTTGAGAAATGGAGCAAACCTTAGGGCACTTGAGTTCCCATGGGATATCAGCCATCACATCAACAGCATCAGCACCACCGACACCAATACAGAGCCCACCCAATCCTCCACCATTAGGGGTGTGGGAGTCAGTACCAATCAACAACAGTCCAGGGAAAGCATAGTTCTCCAACACAATCTTGAACAGAAAGTCATATATAAGAGAATATTTTTTTAACAACTAAAGTTAGAATTTTAGGGATCAAAGTTTTTACCTGGTGGATAATACCAGATCCAGGGTGCCAGAAACCAACGCCATATTTGGCACCAGCAGATCGCAGGAAGGTGTACACCTCCTTGTTCAAGTCCTTAGCGCGAGCAAGATCCTTCTCTCCTTCAATCTAATTAAAAAACAAGGATAAACCAAGTCAAATTAACAATAAAGAATACAGAGAAAATATTTGGCCACATGATGAGCTTGTTTGAGAAAGTTAGATAGCAATGCGGTTGCTCCCTGCTTATCAGTAGAGATAAAGGAATCATTCATGCTTTACATTGCAACATCATGGTACAAATACTAAATCATGAACTCAACTTACCTTAATTGAGTTCCTTCAATAATTATTAACAACTTTATTACTGAAACAGAATTCTTCGAGGACTTACCTGAGCTTCAATAAGATGGTCACAGTGGATGGTTGAAGGTACAGCTACTTTGGGCAGACCAGATGAAATAAACTGAAGCATAGCCATTTGTGCAGTTGCATCCTGCATCGCCACACGGTCAGGTCGCAAACGGAGATATGACACACCACGCTCAACATCTTGGCCTTTGGGGTCATCCAGATGGGAATACAAGATCTTCTCAGACAAAGTCAAAGGTCTCCCCAGTCTAGACAGAACAGAAAGAGATAAGATAATCACAAGCAAAGAAAATCTAAGTGGCAAAAGGCATTCATATTTCTTACCGCTTTTTCACAACTTCAATGTTGCTGGCCAACTTGTCATATGGCAGAGGTTTGTTATCTAAACGGCTCATGGCTACCTTGGCAGCCATGGCCGAGAGTGGAGAGATGGAAAAGCATCGCTGCTGTACATCAAGGGCCGCAACTTGAGGACCCTGCACACAAGGAAACAAAGATCAGCAAATGTAAATTACAAGAGTCATTGACCCATGGTGACCTATATTATGCCAAGTGGAATGACGCAACATTCAAGTCTTCACTAGGTCAATGGCTCCACGAGAAAACAAAGCATTCGGAATGAGTGACCCTTATCAACTTATCTCTCTAAATGAAAAAGAAAACATGGAACCCACTGCCATCTACAAAAGTTCAAACCATCAAACTTAATATATCCTTTACTTTGTCCCAGAAAAAAAAAAATAGATGGCAACCTGGACAATTAAGTCATTTACCACACATCAGCAGGGATTATAATGGGAATGAGACGTCAACATTTAAGTGACCATCACGCATGTCATTTGAAGTGCTCTAGTCCGCAAAATTTAACAATAACAGTGCATGCCCTAGAGAAAGGGCAGGAAAGTCGCAAAAGAAGTCATAAGCGGAGGTCAAATGTGACAGAATGTGCAGGAGACATGATGGGAGTAGGGGCCACCAAACCTCAATTAACACCTCCCCGAAAAGGACACGGCGATGTAACCTCACTTGAAGCAACAATATCGATTTTTCAACCACAGGGTAGTATGTCATTGGCGTTTCAGGACCCTTCTAATACCGGCAGTATCGTGACTTTAAAATGAACTACAGGGCAAAGCGAAAATGCCGCCAACAAGGGTATAATGAGCACATACTTGAGCAGAAATAAAAGCACGAACAGCTCGTCTGCAAGCACTGACATCTTAGTAGGTGACCAGCACACGAAAACGACAGACTAAGACATAAAGGAAGTGTCAAGACTTGAGTCAAGCGAATTAAAGAGATATGACCTCTGCAACCTCTACCCCAAAAATTACAGCAAGACATCGACCTTCTAAAAATAGGCCGTTTGGTACAACTGCAAGAGAGGATCATTGTCGAAGTGTCAGCAGGGACCAAGCAGACTCGAGACCGCAAATGATTAGCATCACGACTGTGTTTCGGAATACATTACCTTGCGGTACAAAACTCGCATGCAGTACGCCATGATGAGAGCGCGGCGCCGGGACGAGGAACAGAACCAGGCGCTTCTGGCGACCGTGGTACTGTGCCGTGTGGATCACGGGATGGTCGAGGTTCGGCTGTACTGGCTTCTTCTTCAGTGCTTATTCACAGGGTCAGACTCTGCACTCAGCGCCTTCTTGCTGTATACACAGTTACTCTTCGCGCCATGCGCTTCGTGCTCAACGCCGGCAACGTAATTCCCCCCACTCTTTCCTCGTTGACCTCTCCAGAAGAAAGCCAAGGAGAACGGCATGGTCAATGTGAAGTCATTTTGGAGTCATTGACACCGACACGACGCCCCAAATAACGCCCCTCTCGTGCCAAAAGAGTGTCTATTTGACGACATTTTGATGTACTTGTGACTTCCCTGCTCTCCTTTTGGGAAGAGACACGACGACACGACAGCGTCTGAACGGCAAAAACAATTGGAACGAAATAGGCCTGTCTACGTCCTGTTTGTCAAGGACAGTGGGTCGGTGCGGTCAGGAACTACTTCGCCATCTCATGACTCAAGGGACGACACAACCATAGTCACCCGCTGTTCACATAGGAGTGCACAATACACAAAAGTGCCGCCGAGGGTTCCGCTCAACTTGATCTGATAATCTGGTTTGGGAAGGTCTAAGTCTTAGATTCTAAGAGCAATAAAGAAATCGTTTTACGAACACATAGATACACATTAATCGGCTCACGGTATCGGAGGTGAGTTTGTGGGGCTTCCCCCCATCTACCCCCCCCCCCCCGGCGTACTGCGTGGCATGCCGATATGTGACACACAAGTGATTGAATCGCGATGCATTTCGCAGAGAGTTTTTCTCTCTCTTGTTGTTTTTGCCTTTTCGCACCTCCGTTATGGCCGAGCAGTTGACCCCTTCGGCGGGGCACGCATGTGATAAGACTCTTGCAAGAAAGGAAAAACATGTCAATGGCCTCCTAAAAAAAAAATACAGATTGCGACACAGTGCGAGAGATGGGCCCACCCACCGTGCTTTTGGCATTGAACTTGATACTGATACTCGCCGAATGGTGCGTGACTCAGAGGCGCAAAGGGAGAGCCGTGGGGCGTACGAGGGATCGCAGAGGCGCATAATCTAGTGATGCAAAGGGGGGAGAGAGGGGAGAGGGGCGTGGCAGGCGTGCCCGGGCGTGGCGTTGGTCTGTGACGCAAGGGAATAGGTCAGGAGATACAATTATGGGTCGGGGCGAGTAACGACGTACAGGGCAAAGCTACCCAGGTAGCAAAACCGGCAAAAATGAATCACGACTGCTTTACATGTCCCATGTAAAATGCCAAAATGCCCCGTCATTCCGCCGTTGCGGAACAGCCGAGTTCTAGCACGGCCTATGGGCGATCTCTCCTATGGCGCCTGGTGGGTAGGCAACATCTTGTCTTCAGTGCATGCGTGTACTGCAGGGCGGCC